GTTTGTTTTTTTGAGACAGGGTTTCTCTGTGTAGCTTTGGCGCCTTTTCCGGAACTCACTCTGTAGCCCAGGCTGGCCTCGAACTCACAGAGATCCACCTGCCTCTGCCTCCTGAGTGCTGGGATTAAAGGTGTGTGCCACCACTGTCCAGCTATAATTTAAAATTTAAAAGGATTTAATGTCTTGTTCCTGAGTTGTATTTTCTGGTACCACCTCCAGGACCTGTTGAGGTTTTAGAGGGGATGATTGTGATAGCTCTTCATCAACTTGACTGCATCTGGAGTCCAATAAAACATAAGGCATTGGGCACTCCTGTGAGAAATCTCCTAGATTAGATTATCTGAAGCAGAAAACCTAGCCTAAACATGGCCAGCCCAGACAAAAGGACATGGAAGGAAACTTTTTTTCTTGTTTGACATCATACCACTAGTAGGTTCATCTATCCTGTAGCTGGTACATTCCTTCACCTCGAATCCTCGAGGACCTTCGGTGTTATCCTGGGGCTGCTGAGACATTCAGTTGCATGAACTGAGCAATTATATAGGACCCCTCTGCCTCTCTAGTGTGAAACAGCCAAAGTTGGACAGTTTGAGCTGCATCCTGTAGGCCAATCTAATAAATAAATAAGTAAAATTAATCAATATTCATTCTATCATTCTATTTCTTTAGAGAACCCTGACTAATACAACAAATATGTGGTAAACCTAGACGGAGTCTATGGGGTTCATGACCACAACCAGATTTTCTGGGAACTGTTGATGAAGAGTAGTCAGAGAAACCTGACAGACCTCCAGTGTTGTCGGTAACCAGTATGGCTCCAGACAGTGTGCATGTCAGCAGACACCTCGAAGAACTACAGCTATAGACTCTTTGTGCCCTGTAGCTGGAGTTTTCCTGCCTGGCCCACAGTCAGGACACATCTCTCTCACCCGCCAGTCCCAAGCCGCTCAAACCCGATCAAGTAAACACAGAGACTTATATTGGTTACAAACTGTATGGCCGTGGCAGGCTTCTTGCTAACTGTTCTTACAGCTTAAATTAATCCATTTCCATTAATCTATACCTTGCCACATGGCTCATGGCTTACCGGTATCTTCACATGATGTTTCTCATCGTGGCGGCTGGCAGTGTCTCTCTGACTCAGCCTTCTACTTCCCAGCTTTATTCTCCTCCTTGCCCCGCCTACACTTCCTGCCTGGCCAATGGCCAATCAGTGTTTTATTTATTGACTAATTAGCAACACAATTGCCATGCAGAACATCCCACAGCAGTGCGGCGCCCCCCCCCCCCCCCCCCCCCCCCCCCCCCCCCCCCCCCCCCCCGCCAAGCACACATAAAACTGGGGAAGGTGGGCCTTCTGATACTGATAAAACTTACTTTTATTGATCCAGGGCCTCACATGCACTAGGCAACATACTCTACTACTGAATTATACCCTTTAGCCCCAAAATTTAATTTCTTGCTACTGTAACAGAATGAGAGCTTCCAGTATTTTAATTAGATTTTTCAAAATGACAAATCATACAAACAGCACGAAGAATAGCCATGTTTGTTTTACCCAGATTTATTATTTATTTTTACCCATTTGCTTTGTCATTTATTTTCCTAATTATAAGATATGCTTCTAATATATATATTATATATAATATATATAATGTATATATACACACAGTATTTTTGAACCATTTAGGTTTTTGTTTTGTTTTGACACAGGGAAGAAAAGAGGGTCTCATGTAGTCTAGGCTGGCAATGAGCTCTGTGTAGCCGAGGATTACCATAAATTCCAAATCCTCCTGCCTCCACCTCCCTTGTGCTGTGATTATGTAGCCACCATATCTGGCTCTTAAGGATAAGTTTTATATACTTACATATTATGACATATCACATATATATTGCTATATAATATATGCCAGTATATAAATATATATCATAATTTAGATGTCTTTACTATTCTACAAAGACTAGACCCCAGCCTGTTGTGGGTGGTGAAACCTTTAGGAGATGGGCCTGTTGGTAGGAAATTAGGTCTCTGGGACATGTTCTTGAAGGGCATACTGAGACCCCCCAGCCTTTTCCTAGCTCTCACTTCCTGGCTACCTTGAGGTGAGCAGTTTTGCTCTACATTGTACACTCTGCTGTAACACTGCCTTTTCACATGTCTAAAAACAACAGAGCCAAATGATCATAGACTGAAGTCTATTAAATTGTAGGCCTAAATTAACATTTCTTTCTGATGAGTTGATTTATTTTAGGGATTTTGTCACAGTAATGGGAAGTTGACTAAGGCAATGACACAATCATAATTACGTATGATAACATATACAATTGATATATGCATACATCACAATCAAAATGTACAAATATTAATTATATTATACAGTTATGTACAATGTCACGTTTGTGTCAAAGGAGGACTCCTATATAACAGTGATCCCACACAATTTTATCACATAGTGACATTACAGCCACTCTGTGATGGTCACCTAATGATAAAATTGCCTAACAATTCATTTCTCAGAATGCATTTCCATTCTGAGAACCAAGAACCCACTTTCATAATCACAAGGTTGACAAACTTACCAAATAAAAACACAGTAAAGACACAGGATGCTTTGGACAAACCCCAATAGAGAAAGGAAAGATTCTGAGCTTTTCCCGACCCCACCCTTCTGGACACACTTAAACAATGTTCTTAGAGTTTATGGGTTGTGTCTAAACAATAAGCCTGACCCAATGGGTAAGAGTCAGGTAACCAGTTAATATGTTAGGATTTTACTGATGAAAGTAAGGGAAGGCTGGTTAGAAAAGATAGTAAATTAAAGCCTGTATTCCTCATGTCTTTACTACATGTCCTATATAATTTCATCTCTTGAAAGTTGTTGATGCAGCACTATGACTTGGTATTTAAAAAGAACTGTCTCATAAGAACTATTACTTACAATATTTAAATATAAATTAGTAGACTTGTTAAAATGAAATCTGCTCTAGTAGAACTTTATTGAGTACTGAAAATTTGCATTTCTTAATATGCTCCCAGAGGATGCCCACACATTTTTCCTAATGTGTACTTTAATTATGACCACCTAGGTCACAATCACTAGACATTTTTATGGAGCTACCGAGGCCTTATCCAAATTCAGAACCTCTGGGAATTATGTCCACTAGTCTAAGGTATACTTTAAACAATCTCCTAGTAGGACTTGAGAATCACTGATGAGTAGGGCTGAAATGCCCTCTACTTTTTTCTTGACTTACTTTCTGTTGTTGAGAACCCAGGGCAGGTCCCTCCTGCTTGGTCCTTCCATTGATCGCTTCAGACAAATCCACTCCCACTCTTCTCAGCAAGCATCTGCTCTTTATCATGGACTAAACATCCTTGCCCATGTCCTATCTCTCTAGATTTTATCTCCTGGCATTTTGGTTGTTAGCCTAGCTTTAACAACTGAAACATCACTCCGACCCCAGATTTGATTTCTTGAATCAATTACTTACATTCTTGTAGCATCAGCTCCTACAACAATTCTTGTCTTCTTGATTGTGAGCCTAGGCTCTAACAGCTGAGCCATCTTTTTAGCCCAACTGTCATAATCCTTAACACATAGTAAATGTTTAATATTTGTTATGGATAATAATTCTGATTAGAGTGGACAAGTAATTTCTTCCTTGGACACACGATTGTTTCCCGGGTCTTATGAGGTTAAAAGAGCCCCTAACCCCTTCAAAGAAGCACTCGGTTTTTAAGGCAAAAACTGCAACTTGCAACTAGGGCATATTATTTTTCAGAAACTGTAAAATTTTTTATGATAGTACTCTGGATTTTATTTTAGCAAATGGCACTTTAATAGAATGAAAGGAATACTTTGGACTTATTATGTCTTTTATCTATGAGCCTCAAAACACTCTAAAAGCACTCTTAAATTACTATACTGTCATCCCAGCACTCGGGAGATAGAGGCAGGCAGATCTCTGTGAGTTCGAGGCCAGCCTGGTCTACAGATCGAGTTCCAGGACAGCCAGGATTACACAGAGAAACTCTGTCTTGAAAAACAAAAAGAATTACTGTACTGTCATACTATAAATATTATATGCTCCTTACAAGAGCAAAAAGCTGATGAGGATCGGGCTTTAAATCACTCTGGAGGCAGAGGCAGGTGGATCTCTGTGAGATAGAGGCCAGCCTGGTCTAGAGAGTGAGTTCCATGACAGCCAGAGGTACACAGATAAACCCTACCTCAAAAAACCAAAACAAAACAAAAATGCTGATGAGGAGAGTTATAATATACTTGATCTAATCTTGTGCATCCCAAGAATGCCATACCAAGTAAGTCAGGGTAAATGGTAGGGTGTGGTGGTGTGCAACTTTAATCCCAACACTCTAGGGGGAGAGGCAGGTGGCTCTCTCTGAGTTCAACGCCAGCCTCCTATATATCAAGTTCCAGGCTAGTCAGAGCTACAGAGGAAGACCCTATCTCAAAAATAAAGAAAATTGAGTGGTCCATAGGTAAGTCTTCAGTATTTCTCGGGCCTCAAGTTATGTGATCTGAAAGGTGAACATTTTATAGAAGAAAGGAGGCCAAGATGAGAAGAACTTATTTCCATTTGGGGGAGTCCATTTCTTTTTTCCTCTGTATCCCTACTTCTCTTGGTTTATGTATTTTATGATGTTTGTTCATTCTTAAAATAGGGTTAAATGCCGACCCATCCTCTGACAACATTCTTACCTATTTTCCAGACATTCTGTTCTCCCTGCCTCTACTCTGCTGTTGCAGCCAAGCAAAAGCAACTGCCAGCTGAGGTGCTGTGACAGGTTGGAACCCTCACTCATTTCTCTAGAACACTATTGCTTAGAAAATTCGGTTCTCCTCTCAGTTCCCTCTGTGTAAAGTGGAATGGAATATACATACCACCTCGCTCACAGGATGGATGAAATGACAGAAAACAACTCAAACTGTCAAGCACCAAACGGGTACAAGTTGTTCCTCACGACATTCCTTGTTTACCTTAATGCAGGGAACTACCAAGGCGCAGCGCAATTAGGAAGCAAAGGGACGGAGCATCAGGGAACCAACAGCCTTGGGGTGGTGCTTTTCCCCTCTGAAGAACAGGGATTGCAACGGGCGTTCCGAGCTCGGGAAAGGGGAAAAACTACAACTCCCGTGAGGCTTCACGCGCGCCCCCTTGCTCTGCCAAGCAAGACCGAGCCTCCAGGCGAAGAGGGTGGCGCCTGTGCGCGCCGGGGGGACTCTCCTAGTGAGGGCAGAGGCGGGCTGCTGGAGGCGACTGGGACAGCAGGTGGAGACCCACGTGCGAGCGTGGGGCGGGTAACGAGGGAAAGACAGCTGGGGAACAGCGTTAAAAAGAATTAAAGCCAGCTGTGCCCCGTTGCCTCCGCGGGTAGTAAGCGCCGCCGCTGCGGAGGCTCCGGGCACGCGCGCTCCCGGGCTCGCGCCTCATGCCTCGGGCACTCGGATCGGCAGCGGCGGGCGGGGGCGGGGCAGGCGGCGCGGGGGCGGGGCCTAAGGCGGCGCGGGCGAAGGCGGCGACCCAGACATCTGGGACTGTTGTTGTTCTCTCGCCTCACGCCCGCCTCAGTCAGCTCGAGCTGAGATCCGGAGCTGGTCTACTGGGAGGCTGGCGGCAGTCTCCGCCCTCTCTCCCGGTTCGCCGGGAAGCTGCGGCAGGAGCGGGTGCTGACTGAACGCCTCCCGGTGGGTCTCCGATGCCCTTCGGCAAGGAGGGGGCGTCTGGACCCTGGTGAGCATACCCAGAGCCCCCCGACTCGGTGTCTTCACCCGCCCCTCGGGCCGGCACACCCGTGTGTCTGCCATGGCTGAGAACGCAGATGGTGACCTGAACTCTAACCTGCTCCACGCCCCCTACCTCACCGGGGACCCCCAGCTAGACACGGCCATCGAGCAGTGGCTGCGTTGGGACAAGGTGGGTACCTGGACACCCGGGCATCCGTCCCCCTCTTCCTGCCCACCCTCTCACAATCCGCCCTTTCCGGTACCCACCCAGGGCTTTGCAGGCTCCAGGGGAGATGGCTCCGGCCACCGCAGGGCTAGCGGAGTTGGGCGATGCCTCTCACCTATGCAGGGGCTGCCTCCCTCAGGAGGGCGGGCTGGGCTGGGCAGCGACATCTGCAGTAGCTTTCTTTTGCAGTAGGCTACACTACAACCCATTCCCTTGTCGCCCTCTTCCTTCTAGTGTGTATCATCTCTCATTCTCAAAAAGACTTCATCCTCATGATCCTCATCATTCTAAGTTGTACTCCGCATATTCCGCATCCATTTCCTTTCCCCTTTCTCCCTTGACTTCCTTCTTTGCAGAACCCGAAAGTGGCTTCTGGTACGTTTCGCGGACGTTATTACTAACCACTATCTGCTGTGGTGTTGGTCTGCTGGTGTTTCCACCCTCTGTCGCTAGGTAATCGCTGGCCTGTTTCACGCTTATTTTCTGGTGTCACCTTTTGCTCTTGGAAATGACAAGGGCTCTCCTCTTGTTTCAGTCCTCTGCTGGCCGTTATTTTCTGAAGTATTCTGTGCAAAGAATCGTGGTCATATACATCTTGAATAGCCTACTTTCTTCTAGAGCCTACACCATTGCTTCTCAAACCATAACGTTCCAGCAGATCATCTGGGGATCTTAAAAGGCAGATCCTGACCAGATATTTAGAAATTCAGAAGTGGTGTTGCCTTGCCTTGCCTTGCCGTCTTTCCTGCTCTCTCCCACACCTTCTGCAGGCATATAGGGTGGATGGGTGGAAACGAGAATTAAAATGTAGCCTTTCCACCTGTAAAAGAAGCCCCTGGAGGCTCTCTCAGAGGACAAGATGGTAATCAGTGTTTGCTTTGTCAAGTGCATATAACAGCTGCTGCTAACACAGAGAAAGCAGCACATTTTAAAACTGGGTAATAATTGAATTTAGGGGTTTGTCTGGCAATATGTGAGATTGTGTTATACAAAAGAACTACCTAAGTAGGCTTTCTGAAACAATTTATTTCCTTTCTTCCTTCCTTCCTTCCTTCCTTCCTTCCTTCCTTCCTTCCTTCCTTCCTTCCTTCCTTCCTTTCTTCCTTCCTTCCTTCCTTCCTTCCTTCCTTTCTTTCTTTCTTTTTTTCAGTCATGTTTGCATTCAAGAAGGAGAAAACAAACCAGCACTGAGTGTTCTAGGCCGGTCAGGAAACACCGGGGGTGAGAAAGATAGAAGGAAATCTTGCCCTCAGCAGCCTTCAGTTAGTAGATAAGGAAGCCCAGCAAGTAAGCAATGACCGTGGAGTATTTGGTGTTACTGGGTTTTATATATATATTATTAATTTTAATATTCTAATAATTAAATATTCTAATCATTCTTCTAGAGTCTGAACAACAGTTTCCCAAACCTGAAAGTGCTAACAGATCATCTGGGAATCCTTAAAGGCAGTTTCTGACCAGATGGCTAGGGTGGGGCCTGACAGCCAGTCTTAGTGAGCTTCCAGGGGATTGATACCAGTATTGCTGATCTGTGGACCACACTAAAAATAGACTCTTTTCTCTTTCAGTATCGGCTTTGACTACGCTTTTCCTAATGAATGTCCCTGTTGAATGAAATGAATTAATACTTATTGTCTGTGCTATGCCCAGATACTGCTGAGATATAGAAATATTTAAGAACTGAAAAATGCATATAACAATAATGCAACAGTTACAGTAGCAGTAAGAGGTTGCAGGCATTCAGTTCTTATAGGAGTTCAAAAGGGAGAGTGATCTGTGGAGTGGGATGGTCAAAGAAACCTTTTTATTTATTTATTTTTATTTTTGATTTTTCATGGCAGAGTTTTTCTGTGTAGTCCTGGCTGTCCTGGAACTCACTCTGTAGACCAGGCTGGCCTTGAACTTATAGAGATCCTCCTGCCTCAGCCTCTTGAGTGCTGGAATCAAAGCCATGCGCCACTACCTCCTGGTTTCAAAGAAGACTTTATGAGAACATGGAATGCACATAAAAAGAACAGGAAAAGCCTGCAGGAGAAAGATGAAATAAATGTAGACCTCAATGAACATAAAAGAGGAGATAAAACAAAGGCTCCCAAATAAAATATAAGGAATAAATAATAAGTGCCTTAACAGAAGAACACATTTAAATAATTTTATTGATTATGTATTATTGATCTCTTTTTTAATGGAGAATAATGCTTTTATCTGAGAAACAAAGGTTTATCTTCTATAGATTTATCAATCTGTAAGTAAGCTAGGCTAAGTCCTAGGCCACTGAAATTTAGAGTACAAAATGAAATTTAAGTATTTCATTGCACATTGATAGTCCATACAGTCTTTTAATGCAGAGAGTCTGAGCTCAACTCCTGATTAATACCAATTAAGGAACCCTGATAATGCTGCTGATTTTTGAAGACTGATGAGGCATGAAATAAGAAGACTGATGAGGCATGAAATAAGTTATCAATAGTTTTAGGGTAATTTGCTATTTGCCATAGTCACAATCATTATTAATTTTAGCCTTGGTGGCTTAGGATATATTGAAAAGTCTCCACTAAAAAAAAAAAAAAAAAAAGAAGAAGGTATTTGTGTTGAACTTTCTCAATTAGTTAACATTCAGATTTGCCAAAAGATGGAAGACTAAGAATTGGAAAGATGGAAGCTTGAATGTATGTAGTTAATACATTTGTGTCTGCCAGAGCTTAGGGTACATAGAGAGAAATCTTTGGAAAGGTGTGTGAAGACCAGATTGTAGAAGAGCTTTAGTATATCTTTAGTGGCCTTCAGCAAGTAAGAGTGACTGTAAGTGCCAGAAAGGAAACAGTGCAAGAAGACAGGCCCAGCTTGGTGACTCTTCGCGATGCTCTCGGCACTTGGGAGACTGACACAGGAGGAGCAGTTAGAGTTTGAGGCCGGCCTGGGCTGCATAGTGAGTTTATGTCGGCCTAAAGAGTGAGACGCTTGGTTTTGTTTTTTGTTTGTTTGTTTTTGTTTTGTTTTGAGACAGGGTTTCTCTGTGTAGCCCTGGCTGTCCTGGAACTCACTTTGTAGACCAGTCTGGCCTTGAACTCACAGAGATCCGCCTGCCTCAGCCTCCCAAGTGCTGGGATTAAAGATGTGCACCACCACCGCCTGGCTCTTGGTTTGTTTTTAACCAGATTTACTGGGGCTAGGGTACTCTTGTGTAGCTGCAGTGGGGACTTAGATCTGACTTCCTACTTGTATCCAGGCTTTTGTTTAGTATGTTAGCTTCCCTAGTCACTCAGCTCAAGGTCATAAAAACTGATGGCTGATTTAAGAACACAGTTTAATTAACTTATGGTTTATGATATAGATGCAAGAGTCAAGTAGATTTGTGTCTAATCCAGGCATTTGGTAGATACACCGTAGGGAAGTGAAATAATCCAAAGATTTTTGGTGATCATGAAGCCAAATCACAAGGAGTCAAATATGTAAGATTAACCACATCAGCTTGTAACATGTAAGTGTATACATGTAAGTGCATACATCCCTGTATGGGGCTGTGCTACTACTATAACCCACTAGGTCCATGGATCAAGGAGTTCTATCAGCTGTGCTCAGATAACTCTACCACCACCATGCTCTCCTCTGCTCTAGGTAAGGCTCATACCTCCTTCCTGTTTCTTTCATTCAGTGCTTTCATGCATTGTCAAATTATAGACAAGCAGTCCCCGTCTAAAATCAAGATTCTTTAACCTTACAACTGTTGATTCTGTTCCAATGTGAATTTTAACTCTGTAAGCAATCATATATCTAAGATACTAAGCAGTGGTAAAGCATGGATGAGTAGATAGGGTTTTTTTATTTTTTTGTTTTTTGTTTTGTTTTGTTTTTTAAGAACGGGGACACAGGGCAGAGGTGCTCTGCTGATTGTAACAGCAACACAAAAGTCTTATATATTGACAGCAATGTGGAGGCAGGAATTAGCAATGGCAATTTAAGAAATAGTGAGTAGAACATTCTGGTTTCCGAATGTAGATCTTTATTAAGAAAGAGTAGAATATGAAGCTGAAGATAGGTTATATATAAGTCTATAAAGAGACTGGAAAAGGAAATAAAGGACATCAATCTAAGCCAGCAATTTTCAGATGTTTAACTATAGAATATTTTTCAACAAATTGACCAGAACAAAAAGACTGTGAATTAATTTTCCATGCCTCTTTTATTCAGTCTGTCATTGCTATAGTAAGTACCTGAGCCTGGGTAATGTTTAAAGAAAGGAGCTTGTCTTAGCTCAGTTTGTATGAGATCAGCAGCCACATTTGTTTGGCCTTTAGTTAGAGCCTCATGGCTGATGGAATCCTGACAGAGGCATATGTAAAAAGGATTACATACTGAGGGAGGAAGCCAGAGCAAGGAGGGGTAAGCCTTGCTTTTTAAATTTTCTCCTCTCCTCTTAACCTCTCCTCTCTCCTGTAAATTACAGCTTATTCTTGTTAGAACTCATACACAGAACC